CAAATGATCCGTCAGACTTCACTGTCTTACCCCCTCACATTTCTTGATAGGCGACTCACTGCTTCAACCTGTACAATTTGACTTTCTGAAGACTTCAGACCATCGTCTTGCACGATGGCAGTACATCCAAAAGCTAGGACAGCACTTTTGGAAACGATGGCAGTCGGAGTATCTGATGGAGTTACAAAAGTGAAATAAATGGACCGAGTCGGGAGCTAAGGTGCAGCTAAACAGTCTGGTTCTATTAAAGGAGGACCACATATCATCTCTTCAGTGGGCCCGAGGAAGAGTAACGGAAGTACACCCCGGACCAGACGGCGATATAAGAGTGGTCACCGTGAGGACACAAAACGGAAGCTTCAAATGCTCCGTGAAAAAGTTATCTCTTCTTCCCATGGAGGATCTATCCAGTTGCTGAGAAAAAAAATACCAAACTATCCGTTCCGCTTATCGTATCTGAATATTCTTTTCTTTCTTTGTCCATTTAATGTTTAGTTATTAATTTAATCAACTCGTTCAATAGTATTCAGTTTGCAGTTTATTCCATTGCATTACTTATAACTTCATTTATTTAATTTATTGGTACTGATAGTTTCTATCTTGCTTACTTGTATTTAAATTGTTAGATGTTATTTTAATGAAACACATTTTATTTTTATATTAAACTAACCGCGTTACCCGACATGTTGGTTTATCGTATTGATACATCGATATATCAATCTATAATAAAAATCGAGTTTCACTCTCATGTTCAACTACACAAAACACGAGTATGTTTCATTATTTTCTACGAGTAATAATTCCTATTATTCCATTATAAATGATTACTAATTATCCTTAAGCTGTTACTTTATTTACTTTATGTTATTTGCAGAAGCAGATTTATGTACGATTGAGAATTATTATCTATGTAGCGCAAAGTAACTAATTATTGAAAGACAACCTTTCAAGGTGAGTCGGCATGTTCCGCAAAAGCGGTGTTAATAAAAAGGCTACGATAGAGGGCCAGATAAGACGCCAGAGGCAGGTACCAGGCGGCAGAGTCAGAGTGAAGACAATATGGCGATATATTAATGTCACGCGTTCGCCCACGAGATTCTTATGTGCAATAAAGGTTGTCGAAAAAGCATAATAGTGTACATCAGTATTATCTAGACGTCGTATATACACTGGGATCCCGAGGACCCCATTCATATTTATTACTGTATCTCTAGTAAAAATGGACATATTTCAATTAATTTATTTTTTTAATCGATAGAGAATCGACCTGCAAGAAACAAGCCCATAATGTTTAAAAGTTGATAGAATTAAGGAGCTCCAAAATATACGGGTTCAAAGAAAAAAGAAAGTTTAAAAACGCGAAAAAATCTCGATTTAGCATCTTTGTTCAAAAAATCATATCTTTTTTGTTTATATAGATCGATTTGAAAAATCCTGAAAAATTCTGAAAGGGTATACTTCAAATGGTAACAAAAATAATTTGGCAATCCGATATTTTAATTTTTTAACAAAACTGCAAGCAGTTCCGGGGACCCCACGCTCACTTCAACTGTTCACTGCCGGTTGTTGAGCGATAATTGCCGCGCGTTAACACGTCTTCCTAGTTTCTACTGAAGAGAACTTTTTTTACGTCAAAATCCCAAACCCCTCCTCTTCCAATTTCAGAAGTGCCAAACCGAGAAAGTTTCACACTGGTCCCGAAGATCCCAGTGTGTATATCTAGGATTAAGTACGGAAACCAATATGATAGTGTTTGCAAGTCGGTGTCAGACAATGAAGTATATGACTTTACAACACGAGCGAAATTTATTAAGAATTTGAATTATTTAATTTGATACAATAATTCTTTCTCAAAGAGCGCGCACTATTAACGCCTTTATTTATCTTTTTTTAAAAAGGTAATTTTATATTGATATCATGTATTTTATAACGTGTCATGATTGATAGTTTGAGCGCAAATGTTGCTACATCCAATGCAAGAGTCATTTTATTGTCATTAATATGTCACTTGGCGGAAATTATATGCACAATTTTAATACCACGTTGACCGAACAATTTTTTGATTGCTTCCTTTATGGCATATCTCCGTTCAGCACATATGACTCCGTTTTTGGAGAAATTCATTCATTGTTTTGATTATGTTTTATTTGATTATTTATGCGATTCTGTATAATTTATTTTATTTAAATCAGTAATCACTGACTACATAATGCGTTTTTTCACTGATAATTAATAATGCGATTGAGAAAGTCCTAGTAAGGATCAAAACTAGTTTCGTTACGTTTTATACTGAAAAATTAATTAATTAAGTAAATTTTTACAACCAATTATATTGCTCATCTTTGGCCGTTCAATTTTATTAATTATTGTATTAAATAATTCAACCCAAATGGTACTGTCTTCAATTCTGATCCAATAAATTGTAAGCAATGTGTAAAAAAATAATATATTATTTATCAAAAGATTTGATATCAATAACCGACGCCAAATTACAATCTTATAATATTGTTGTGTGCCCTCCCGGTATTGCACAGCTGACAGGGAAATCAATGTATTGATTTCCCAAAAGAAGTTGAAGATCGTTCCTGCCGGCTGGCGTTTGGTTTTTGGTTTACGCTTTACGTTTGACAGCTTGAGCTTTACGTTTGCATTGATTAATAAAGTTCTCGTTCAATTCTTCTTCCGTGTACTTATTCTGCGAGTGCGGAA